GAGTCCCAGCGCCACCGGCCGCCTCGGCCCGGCCAGCCGCCTCCCCTGTGCTGCCGGCCTGCCCACTTCCCCGTCCCAGACTGACCTGTCCTGGCCGCCGCCCGCGTCACCGCCCGCGTCCCGCAACCTCCACGACAGAATCCTCCACCTCCTGCCAAAACTTTTCCCATTAATCCCCAGCTCCGCGGCGGCCGCGCCGGCGTCACAGCTTCCGTGGCCAGGCCCCGCCCCCATGCCGGCCCGCCCCCGTGACGTCACGCCTCACGCCTCGGCTCACCTCCTCCGCGCCCCCTTCCGCCCGGCGGCAACCAATCACCGAGGCGTCTGAAGATTTCCACCCCACCCTCCCCAACCCGAAACTCCGCCCATCGCACGCTGTCTCTCCGTCCCACCCCTCCACACACACCACAACCCGCCTGCATCGCCCTCTGGTGTCCGATGCGGGAGCAGCAGCTGAGGGAGGAGCCTCTGCCAGCTCCCCCACCCCTCCCCAGTCAAACAAGTCCAGCAAGTCTCATCAAAGGAAATTAAAAAGCTGGGAGGGAACACAGAGGTCATCTAGTACGACCGCCTCTTGTTTCCAGTGAAGAAACACAGGCTCAGAGAAGGTGTGTAACTTACCATAAGAAGCAGTTCTCCCGATTTGTAATCCCGTGGTAGATGCCTGAAGACCTGGCACCCTCAAGTTTTCAAAACAGGGCTTTCCCCCGGCAGGAGATGTCTGCAACTTGACACTTCCAGTCTTGGACTTCTCACCAGTCTTCCTATATTTTCATCTAATGCATTTGTTCTCCTGAGTAGGAAGTGTCGTCTCCTACTATTGCAGACAATTCTGGAGCTGTTTTTGCATTTTTTGGTGGGAGCAGTACTGGAGTTTAAACTCAAGGCCTAGAACTTGCTAGGCAGTCATTCTACTGGAGCCATATTTCCACCATCAACTTGTTCCTGATTTTTTTTTTTCAAGATAAGATCTCCTGAACTTTTCTCTTGATCTGGCCCCCAACTTCCATCCTTCAACTCTCAGTCTCCAGAGAAGCTAAAATTGCAAGTGTGAGCTACTGGCACTCGTGTTCTCCTTCTTAACCCAGTCTTTAAGACCTAGAAGGGACCTGTTATCCCAATCTGCCCCTCAAGATGACATTATTATTATTTTGTTTTGTGGGGTTTTTGTTGTTGTTCTGTGTGTGTGTGTGTGTGTGTGTGTGTGTGTGTGTGTGTTGTGGGGCTTGAACTCTGGGCCTCTGCCGCGGACCGGCTCTGTCGGGATGACGGAGGACACCTAGTGGAGGAACTGGAATAGGTGGGGAGATGGCAAAGGCCTCCACACTGTCCCTTAGCCCTTCAGCTCAAGATGAGCATTCTACCACTTGAGCCACAGCGCCACTTCCGGTATTCTCCAGTTATTTGGAGATAAGAGTCTCAAGGACTTTCTTGCCCAAGCTGGCTTTGAACCATGATCCTTAGATCTCAGCCTCCTGAGTAGCTAGGAAAACAGGTGTGAGCCACTGGTGCCTGGCTTATTATTATTAGTGCTACTATTTTGTTAATGGTACTAGGGTTTGTACTAGAGCCTTGTACTTGCTAGCAAGCTGCCCCTTAAAATATACTTTAAGAAGGTCCCAGCTACTTAGGAGGTAGAAATCTGGAAGAACATGATTTGAGGCCAGGCCTGAGTGAAAAAGTAAGTGAAACTCCATCTCAATAAGCTGTCAAGACAGTACATAAATGCAATCCCAGCTACAAGGGAGATTGTATATAGGAAGATCATAGTCTGAAGTTAACCCTGGACAAAGCCATCAGACACATAAAAAAATAAGCAAAAAGGACTGGGGGTATGGTTCAAGTGGTAGAGCACCTTCCTATAAATTCCTATAAATCCAAATCCCAGTACCACCAAAAAAGAAAAAGGAAAAAGAAGATACCTAGAAGCAAGGAGAGCGTCTAGAAGAAGTTGGCTTTTTTCTCTAATGCTGGTCCCCTAGGGCTTGAACTCAGGGCCTTGGCTCTGTCCCTCAGCTTCTTGCTTAAGGCTAGTGTTTTACCTCTTTTTTTTTTGTCCGTTGTGGGGCTTGAACTCTGGGCCTGACTGCAGTCCCTGTGCTCTTGAGCTCAAGGCTAGCGCTCTACCACTTGAGCTACAGGGCCACTTCTGGTTTTCTGGTGGTTTATAAGAGTTTCACGGACTTTCCTGCCGGGGTTGGCTTTGAACCGTGATCCTTAGATCTCAGTCTCCTGAGTAGCTAGGATTACAGGCGTGAGCCACCGGTGCCTGGCTAGTGTTTTACCTCTTAAGCTCCACTCCCAGATTTTTTGGTAGTTGATTGGAGATGAGTTTCACCAATTTTCCTACCTGAGCTGACTACAAGCCATAATCCTGAGCTTTCAGCTTCCTGAGTACTAGGATTATGGGTGCAAACCACCAGTACAGGGCACCCGGAGCTTTCTGTATGGTAGAACTCTAGTGGTTTCCTCCTTTATGCTTCTCTTTTTTTCTCCTACATTTTGAAACAAAGGTACATTCATTTGTAATTTAGATGTCATCTGCCTTATTCTTTGAGACTGTAGTAAAAATGGACTACAGAAGGCAAAACTTTCCTAAGATTTCTGCCAATTTCTAGAAACTTAGATTCTCAGTATTTTTGCTTCTGGGCTCACACTTCTGTCAGACTGTTGCCATACCACAGTTCAGAAATCTAAAGATGAAACCCAGACCTTCCTGGAGACTGCCTACACCTCTTCCCACATAAAACATTTGTGAGCACAGAGCCTTTAAGATACTGGGAGCCCTGAGCAGTCATGTGATACAGAGCAAACGATGTAAATCCACCTTTCAGACCTTCAATTCTTTTTCTTTTTTTGTCAGTACTGGGGCTTGAACTCAGAGCCTTGGGGCTGTCCCTGAGCTTCTTTAGCTCAAGGCTAGTACTCTACCACTTGAGCCACAGCACCACTTCGCTTTTTTGGGATAATTTATTAGAGATAAGAATCTCTCTAACTTTCCTGCTTGGGCTGGCTTTGAACCAAGATCCTCCTATCTCAGCCTCCTGAGTAGCTAGGATTACAGGTGTGAGCCACCAGTGCCCAGCTCAGGTCTTCCATTCTTAATCCTCCTGCCTCTGCCTGAATGTTGGTATTACAGACAGGAATCACCATGCCCTTCCTGCCCTACTGAGTTTTTGTGTTTGGCTTTTGATGGTTTCATCTTTTTTTTTTTTTTTGTACTAAGATTTGACCCCCCAGGATCTGTTGTTTGCTAGACAAGGGCTCTATCACTTGAGCCACACTCCCAATCTCCTGCTGGAATTTTTTTTTTTTGCTGGTCATGGGGCCTGAACTCTGGGCCTGGGCGCTGTCCCTCAGCTCTTCAGCTCAAGGCTAGCACCCTACCACTGCAGCCACAGCACCACTTCCGGCTTTTTCTGTTTATGTGGTGCTAGGGAATGGAACCCAGGGCCTCATGCTTGCAAGGCATGCACTCTACCACTGAGCCACCTTCCCAGCCCCTCCTGCTGGAATTCTTTAACTGTTCCTTCTATCTGTCAGAAAGTGTTTCATCCAGAGAGGGTGGAACAGAGAAAGGAAGGGCGGAAGGAAAGGTACTGATTTGGGAGAAAGCCAAATCCTTCCCTTCCTCTCTCCCTACTTCACTCCCTCCCTTCCTTTCTTTTTTTTTT